AGAATAACCATTCCACTTTTAGAATAACCAGTATATGATAAATTCAGTTCAGCCTTGACCAATTGGCAGTCTCAGTCCTGTGGTGAAACAGTTGGATAGCCATCACTGTATTCAGTGCTCACAGCAGGCCTTGCAACATTAAATGAGTTGTATGAATTGACCTCAATTCATTACTTAAATTAGAAGTTGCCCTGTGGTCTGTGCATTTTGTCTGTTTGCTTTAATAGCTGCTGAGTTTATTAGTTTTAATTTCTGGCTCTTAGCATGTGCAGGCATTGCTGCTCTGATCCAGCAATTTTGGACACCCAGAGCGTCTTAAAGGCATTCAAAAACCAAGTTTCTCTACAAAAGAATTAGGTCTTAAACACATGACTTATTCAAGACTTGGATAAAGGTCAATTGACACCTGTAATTGAATCTGCGGCTGCCCATTACGGTTTTAAATTGTGATGGTCATAAAGCAGGTCACCCATGTGAGCAAGTGATTTTATCTTTTTTGCTGCGGTTGATAAGAAACACCACAGTTGTAAAATGAATGCCATGGTCATTAAGTGAATCCATTTTTGCCATGTGGCATTTTGCCTAAAACCAGAACTAAACACTGGTTTTAAGCAAAAACATCATAATTCATGGGCACATCACAGGATACTGCAAACAGCTGTAAATGCAGGCCAGTTGGTGATTGTCTGAAATGTGATCACATGATCAAGGGAGAGCAACCATCAGAACAGGATCCTAAGCACCTTTTATGGGGTCCATTGTAACTTTGAACATCACTAAGTGACTGATTTGTAAGTCAAGGACTACCTGTATTGGATAGGTGAATCCTAATGATTTCGCTGTTGTCTATTTCTGTGAACTGATATTTTTATTCAGCAGAACAGAGAATTTTCATCTAGCTAATGGCCACATATAGTTTTGAGAGGTATAGGCAGTGATGGGATTCAAATAATTTAACAACCGATTCTCTGCCCTAATGATTTCTTCCAACAAGTAGTTCACCAAACTGCTCAGAAAGTTAACAATTGGTTCTCCCGAAGTGATGCGAACTGGCTGAATCCCACCACTGGGTATAGGAGAGTGTACTTCATAGTAGATATAATTATATAAAATAAAAAGTTAAATATAAATAATACACTCAAACTCAGCTATAAAGTAATGCACACACCTAATTCAAAAACTGCACTCATGTACTCATATGTTCAGACATACATACATTGATAGAATCATACTATATTAAATAAATCATTTTCTTTTAATAATTTACTTACTATTTTCCAACACACCCACCCACCCACACCATTAAATTGTAAAAATTGAAATATACTGTATCATCCCACAGGAAGATGATCCTGAAGTTAAAAGTCTTTCCTCAAAAGAAAAATATAGACAGAGAAAAAAAATATTTTATCATAACTAGTTTACCCCTCCTGTCCTCCCAGGTAAAACTGTCCTGGAGATTTTCTTCATCATAACAATGTATACAGGACATGTGTTGTACTTGTGTGTACATGTGTCTACATGTATTTATGCATATTAGAAGCCACATTCCAAAAAAAGCAAGGCTATAAAAATGTGTAAATATAAATTGTATTAATAGCTATTGATTAAAATTCATTGTCTATAAAATAAAGTTCTCCAATTATATCCAATAAAGTCAGCAGGCAGGTAATCCATTTTAGCTGCAGTTAATCTTCAAAAGCATGTACTTTCCTTCCTCACATTTGTTTGTTTTTAAACAGCAATATCTATTCTTAGTTATTGTAAAATAATCTCCCATTCAAGGAAAAAACTTTGTGTTCTTTTGGCAAAATATGGTACTTTATTCTCCATTTATAATTCATTCCAAGCCCAGTAGAGGGAGCTAAATCAGCACTTAGGAGCGGATATTCAGATGTTCTCAGGTCTGAAAATAGTTTTTCTTTAAAAAAAAAAAAAAAGGTTGGAAAGGGGCAAGCCAGAGAAAGAAAGCAAAGGAACAATATTGATGATCAAGCTGAGAAACAGTAAGCTGAGAATAAGCTAAAATGGGTTTAGTTTCAGATGGAAATGCAAAAAGGAGACAGTTGAAGAGGAAACTACACTGAGTTTTGGGAACAAAAAGAAGACAGGAAGAGACAAATTGATGTTGCAAAATAGAGAAGAGGAGAAGAGCAGTAATTCAGATCAGTCCTCAGGGAAGACCTATTAAAAGACAGTCCAGAAAAGTAAAACAGCAGTTGTCTCATATATCAAAACTCAAGCCACTCAAATATGTTATTAATAACTTACAACTCATATTGAATAACCGCACTGCACTTCTCAAGATTGGGTGGTAGGCCCAAACTTGTATAGATTCAACCATCCTACATGAAATAGATTCTCTCAGACAGTCTGAAGAAACATGAAAATAATGGTAACATGGGAGTTAGAGCTTGCAACAGAACAGATATCTACTACCAGCACCATCTTTTTGTACCATTTTTTTGTATCAGCAGCACCATTACAAGTCCCAACAATTTTATACCCAAGATATGTCTTCACATGCTGTTTCTCTAATTGATCTATCCCATTTTCTGCCAGCAATGCCCCCCTGGGATCTATGTAGGACAAACAGGCCACACTTTGCACAAAATAATTAATGGACGCGAGTTTGACATCAGAACTCATAAAAAAGACAAAGTAAAAGTGGAGCATTTTAATCCTTCAGGACACTCCATTGCAGATTTCAAAATTCTGGAACAAAGAAACATCCTCAGCACAACTGAGTAAGGGAATGATGGACTCTCATAGTGTACATCAAAAGAGTTCATACTATGTGAGAAGGTATTAACAAACATACTGGGATTAAAATTAAAATTATTATTTGATATGGTACTTGTAATCTGCCATACATGTACAGTAATCTGTATTGCATAACTATCCTGTCTTCCCTCACTTTTCTCCCCATCTCAGTTTAAACCCTACTTCATTTAGCCATTCTGTGCTATCTGGTAGAGTGAGCTGCAGTTCATGATAGCTTGTGCCTTTTAATGAAATGTGTTACTCTAAAAAAAGTGTACCTCTTTTGATACTGTTCTGCCATATCAAATATCTCCTGTTGCTGAATGTTATTAAGAAATTACAAGGAACAGAAAGGCAGGATAGAAATGACAGAGAAAGAAAGTGATGTGGTAGTGTGAAGTATAGCAGAGTGCAGTTAAAAATTCAGTGGAAAATGGGAGTAGGAGGCAAGGGAAGGCTTTGGAAAGGCAGGGAATCATTGTAGAATGCACTCAACCTGTTGCTCTACATGCGGCTGGAGGCTGCAATTGTTGCATTTGTGAGTAAAATGCAGTCTTGTAAAAGTCCAATTCTGTTACTGCACATATTTAATCACTATGGCATAGATTTGCTAAAGAAGAATCTCAACAGCCCAATTTCTTTTATATTCATTTAGCTATGAGCTAAAAAACCACTCTGCTTTAGGCAGCAAATCCTTGGATAGTTGAGGAGCTGGAAGGCATAATTCTGCGGAGACTGTCCAAGCTGTCACTGTCTCTTGCTTTGGTTTGGCTCTGTTTTCAGCCTCTCTTTCATTCAGCCCCTTCACCAGGCATCCAATTAGAGAGAATTCCCACTGTGTGGGTTGCTCCAAACACTACCCTTGTCAAAAGTCCACGCTAACCCTTGCCCTACTGCAGATGGACCAGTCCTGCTTCCATCAAGGTCAGAGGAATCTGCAGAGGAGGAGGAGAAGGAATGTGGAGGAGGAGGTGTGGCTGGTGCATTTGGAACTGTGAGGGGGGAGTTTGAAAAAGACCTGGACATGGGTACTAGACTTCATAGGACAGGCACTTTTCCTGCTCTTGAATGTTAATTTCAGACAAGTTTCAAACAAGGCAGCATTTAAACAACCAAATGGCTTGATGCAAAAGCAGCTACAGACAAAAATCTGAAATGGGCTTTGCAATCCTAAAGTACCATCCTTAGTTAAAATAGTGTGTAAATGATTTATTCATTATTTATTAATCACACTGGTAGCCCACCTACAAAGCAATCCTCAGCAATGTCCAGATTGAAAATATTTTTAAAATTAACAATAAAAAGTTCAGCTGAGCCTGCCAGTTCCCTAGCCATCTAACTTATCTGGGACACTAGAATAAATTTCAGAATGGGATCAAGACAGTTCAGAGAACAACGATGCCCAATGCTTAAGCACGAGGACTTTAGCACCAAACTATTCAAGAGCTAGCTTATTGAAAAAAAGGCATATTGTGATTGAGGAAGAATTCATTGTACTAGAAGGTAAATGGAGCCTGTGTTTCTATGAATATGCATGTGCATGTCTTTGTACAAGATAAATAAAGATTATTCTTTCATTCAAACATCCAAATATTTTTCTTTTTCTTTTATCTTTATTTTTATTTATTTATTTATTTTATTCAATTTGTATACCGCCCTTCTCCTAGTGGACTCAGGGCGGTGCACAGCCAGAACTAAAACACATACCAATACAAAATTTAAAATTTTTAAAAGAATTACATGTCTTTGGCCCAAAATTTAAAACATTCAAACTAAAATCCATTGACAATTTAAAAAGCTAAAAAAAAAAAAAAGGGGGGGGGGGTGGGGGTTCACTCCAGCCCTGCTTGATGGAAAAGAAAAGTTTTTAGGGCACGGCGAAAGGCCCGGAGATCCGATATGCTTCGTATCTCTGGGGGCAAATCGTTCCAGAGGGCAGGAGCTGCCACAGAGAAGGCCCTCCCCCTGGGGGTCGCCAGCCGACATTGCCTGGCTGACGGCACCCTGAGGAGTCCCTCTCTGTGGGAGCGTACTGGTCGGTGGGAGGCTATCGGCAGAAGGCGGTCCCGCAAATACCGAGGTCCTATGCCATGGAGCGCTTTAAAGGTGGTAACTAACACCTTGAAGCACACCCAGAAGACCACTGGAAGCCAATGCAGCTCACGCAGGAGAGGTGTCACATGGGAGCGATGCAAATCTGTAGTAATTCTTTCTTACTGATATTTTATCTCTTGCAGATATACCAGTGATCCCTGACTTGGAGGAAGTACAAGAGGAGGACTTTGCCATGCAAGTGGCAGCCCCACCTAGGTATAGTAACCCCAGAATTAGTTCTACTAATTAGTTGTCCTGTTGGGATCAACTTCTGCCCCACATGGCTGATTGTTGTACCATATGTTATAATAAGGGCAAATGAGCTCTTCTGAAGGGAGGAATTAGCTGCTGTAGCTACTGAGTAAAGCCAATAAAAGCCTTTTTTTTTTATTAGGATCAGCTCCATATTTTAGACTTTCTAGTGAAGGATGGAGAGTGTTAATTTCATTTCTGCTCTAACCCCAATCACAGTGTTCAGGTGAATAGAGTGCTGACCTACCGTGACTTGGACAATGATCTCATGAAGTACGCTGCATTCCAAACCTTGGTGAGTGCAGTCAGATGGAAACTGAGATTTATTTATATTTCTTCCAGGAAGAAGGGAGTAGTAAGTAAAGTATTACATAAAATTGACATTTATTACATTTTAAATGTCCCTTTTTATTCTAATGTAATATATGTATATTTGAACTATTGCTTTGATAGAGCCCTTGGTTTTGGAAGCCTAAATAAATATCTAGCGACTTTATTTTCTTATGCAACATTTTTGATGTTCCTTTTAATCATCTTTGGACATTCCATAATCATATAATTCATTTGGCAGAATGTCTTACAGGGCTTATTTAATTATTAGTTTATATTTGGGACGCAAGACTAGACACTGGGTTTTGGAAATTAGTGCACTCATCAGAGAGCCTTGGCCAAGAAAAAAAACCCAATTCTCCAAATGTATGTATCTTGTGATTGCTTTTGAAAGGATTTTTTGGGTGAGATGTTAGTGCATTTGGTCTGCTTTGCTCCCACGCTGGGCATATGTGTTTTTCAGAGAAGGAATGGGACTGTCTTGCTATCATGGATAAAATGCAGATATTGCTACTACTTGTTCTTAGAGCAAATATGATTTTAATGTGTTTTCATAGGATGGAGAGATTGATCTCAAATTGCTCAGTAAAGTCTTAGCACCAGAACAAGAAGTACGAGAGGTGAGTTTGGTTATGAATATTTTTGCTAGGCTGCTCTTAAAGTTAGCATCGATTTAAGAATGTTTGTTTCACCCCATTGTTTCAGTTCTTCTCAGTTTCCTTAGGAATTTGCCTTATTGGACTCATAGCATGGACAACCTTTTAATGCTTCTCTGGGTGTTTTTTTTTTGGTTGGGGATGGGGACCATCATATCAAGCAAGCGGGTAGTACCAAACAGAGATGAGATTGATCATCTATGCAAAGAATGAAAAAATATTCTCACAACAAATCCCCAACTGTTTCAATGCTCCTTCCCCAAGTATTTTGATGAAGGAGATGGTTGGACTTTTTTGTGCAGATACAATGGAATGAAAGAAGTGATCCATTTTCACTGCACCCAGTTCCGTGAAGTAGGATTACAACTGTGCTTGAAAGAGCCCCAATCTATGTTTGGACTGATTCAGCCAAGACATTCCTCCATTCATATTGCATCACTACAGTAGTACATTGCTTCCTTGCTGTCAGCTTCCTGATGCCAGTTGAGCTCTGCTAGATGGAAAAGGATACTTAGTGATGGTTTCAAATGATGTTCAACAGAGTAGCCAGGGATTCAATAGGACTCCTGATTGGCAAACATGTTCAGAAAACTCTCCATTTATTTTCTGAGTTGGATGCCAATCTAAGACACACCAGGGAGTGATTTTTGGAAAGCTTACTTTCATATGACTATCAGTTGAACCGGAGATCAACTTCATTGTGTGTAGGACTGGGGATGAGGTGATATAAGATTGAAGTCAGACTTTCAAGGTAGACCAGACTAGGGAACCAAAGTCATGCGGAACCAAAGTCATGCAGGCTAATATTACTTTTATTATAAAAATATAATAAACAGAATCTTGCAAGTCTGAATGTGTTCCCTCTCTCTAAGAAGGGTCTTATCTGAGGTGTTTTCTCAGATTACAGTTCTGGCTCTGACTCCTATTTCTTTTATTAGCCAGTAGTGGCTCTTCCTCCTGTTCTTCAAGGTTATTCCTTATGCCTATTACAGGGCCTGAAATCCATCAAGACAAAAAATATAGAATATCGCATTGACGCACTAGCAATCATTACAGTTATCTTGAAAAGATAGATTATTATGCAATGGGGTGGCAGTATTTAAACAGTATTGCTCCATTATTGTGGCCACCTAAACACCAAAGCAAATATTCAAAATTAGAAGACTGTTGGGTGGAGCTTCTGGTCAATGAGATGAATTCTCACTTCTGCACCCTCTGGTCCTATCCTGCTGCATCACACAGTATTCCAGAGGGTAGAATTGAGAGAGATTAACATTCCTCTCTTGTTTTAAAATATATACCATGTCAAGTACTTACTCAGAATTAAATCATGGTTAATAAATGTTTTACCAGCAACTGGCGTAGCATTAAAAAGCAGAAGCTTAAGGGCGAAGGGTCCACCTTGATTGTCACCTGGATTTCCTTGATTAGACTACAACCTGGAAGAGAGACTGGTCACCAGTCTATCCATCCTTCCATATCTGTTACTACAAAACTTTGTTCTTTCGACATCTTCCTAAAGCATAATGTCAGGGACTTTTACTAAGATAACAGGAAGAAAAAATAAATTGTTCTTCCTCTGTTACATTCCAAACATTCATGAGGCCAAGAAGCCTGGGCCACCAAAGGGACTCTCAGAAGTCAACCTCTTTAGATCACCTGTCAGTGGTAAACCCATTAAGGAAGAATTTCTTTTAACCCATGGAGTGGGATGATGCGACAAACCCAGCTGAGAGTTTCTTCTGACCTTCTCCTGCAAAGACAAGTGATCCTGCTACCATTATTAGCACTTAGGGATTGGGGCCTCGCTGTAATGTATTTTCCCCCCATTTGAACTGAGTCATCATATTTAGAAACGTTGCCCCCATTGATACTTGTTTTACATTTGTTATTGTTCTTTGACAGGATGATGTCATCTGGGACTGGAACCATCTCTACACAGAGGTTGCCTCTGAACTTCTAAGTGAATGGGACTCTGGGCAATCAGAAAAAGAAGAGAACCTTATGAACAAGAATGCTTGAATTTTGATTGATTGCATAAAAGCACAGTTGTAGAGACATTCCTTTTTAGTATGATTTTTATTCGAGAAATTATTTTTGTCTACGCAATATAAAAATAGCTATTTCAGAAATGTATCTAATAGAATTCAAAAGGAGTTTTGTATTGATATTCAAATTAATTGATTATACTTTTTATTAACTGGGAATACTTTCAATTCTCTTCAGTAGGTAATGTTTTTCCAAGTACTTACATGCCCATTTTAAGGTGTTCTATTTCTTATATGTATACCGTATTTTTCAAAGTATAAGACACACCTTTTTCCCCCCTAAAAGGAGGTGAAAATTTAGGTGCGTCTTATACACCGAATGTAACCCCGCCCACACACTGGTCCCCACCCTTTGGCCTCTGCCTCCCAGCAGTTTACCTCCTTGCAGCAAGCAGCAAGAAGAAACAGCTTGTTTCAGCTTCGGTACAGCCTAATTAGCACAAGTTGATTGGAACGGCCTCCCGACTCTCAGCTGTTTTGCTCTCAGCTGTTTTACGCGGGCCTCTGCTGCTTGCTGCAAGGAGGTAAATTGCTGGGAGCAGATTTTTTTTTTCTTGTGCTAATCAAGCTATACTGAAAACGAAAATGAAACTAAAGCAGGCTATTTGCTGTTTGCTGCAATGAAGCAAAATTGCTGGGAGGCAGAGGCAGATTTCTTTTTCTTGTTTTCCTCACCAAAAAAGGTAGGTGCATTTTATAATCCCGAGCATTTTATACTCCAAAAAATACGGTATGCCTCATTGTAAAATGTTATGCTTTATCCTCAGAGCTATTACAGATAGACAAGTCTGGAATATTAAATTGATTTATTACCTTTCCTCACTTAAGTGGCGACTCTAACATATTCAAATTTGTTTAAATGTACATGAATAATAAATGTGTAAAGAAGAGGCTATACAAACAAAAAGCAACACAAGTGCACCATACATCACATGAGCTTTTTGAATTTGGAAGTGAACTGGGAGTACCAGTTTCCTATTCTAAAATATGCTGGAGGTTGACTGCTTTCCAAAGATCATAATTTGTGAATTTATCTATGCTTATCACCCAAGCTAATAGTACACTTAGCAGTGTAGTGGGCAGTGAAATGGAGCTATCAACAACAACAAAACCCATGTTTGTGCATAAGCAGCATATTGCGGGCGTAAAAGACAGGAAAATTAAAAACCTTTTTCATTTTGAATTGGACTAGTCTAACTCACCTCCAAAACTGGAACAGAATATTAGAAACTACTGAGCCACAATAGTAGGCAAAGCAGCAGGGATGAGCATATCTTTTCAAAGAGATTAGTCTGAATGTGCAAAAGCATCTAAGAAGCCCCTTGTTTTAAATTGCCAAAGCGGTTGCGGCTTTTTTCCAGGTTTTCCTGGTTTCTTTAGAACAGGGCTGGTCAATTAATTTTCCGAAGAGGTCACATGAGAAACTGTGACTGTCGTTGAGGATAGAACCAATGGCTGCATAAGCACACATGCACACACATATGTAAATTGGAGAAAAAAATAGCGGTCTCCTTCCAATAGCAGTTGGATTGCATACATGACATACACTTATTTACATTTGATTTCTAACAGAATAACAGAGTTGGAAGGGACCTTGGAAGTCTTCTACTCTAACCTGTTCAAACAGGAAACCCTATACCGGGGTCCTCAACCCCCGGGCCACAGCCTGTTTGGAACCCGTGAGTGTGCAGTTCCATTTGTGTGAGTGGCGGGTGCTTGCACGCACAGCTCCATTTGCATGAGTGTCAGGTGCTCATAATTGTGCTCAAAACTCCCATTTGCGAGAGTGGCAGGTACTTCCTCTTGAAGCTCCATTTGCACAAGCAGCAGGCGCTCATGCTCGCAGCTCCATTTGCAGAATTCCTCTCAGAAATATACATATATCCAGTGGTGGGATTCTACCGGTTCGCACCGGTTCAGTAGAACTGGTTGTTAAGTAGTTAAGCAGTTCAGAGAACTGGTTGTTAGAAGAAATCTCCTTTTGTTTTTTTCCACTTTACAGGGTTAATCCTGTAAGGAATTATAACATTCTGGTGCTTTGTAGCCTAATCTTTGTTGCCCTGCTTACAGAAACTGCCTCTCTGTTAATCCTTATTACATTCTTGGCAGTACACCTAGACTTTTACTGTCGCTTTTGGTTTCGGAGCTTCTCGGAGTTTTTTTTTTTCCTTGACTTTCTTATAGGGGAAGGGTTGTTTTAAGCTTTTTACACCGCTGTTGGGAGGAAATACTCCCCTGTTGGAGTTCTTCTAGCCAGGATGCAATGATCAACACTTTGAAAAAATGATTGAATAACAAAGCAGAAGCTTTTAATGACAAAAGAACCAAGATGAGTGACATTCAAGGCTTCTTGGCTAGCTAGAAAGATTGACATTCAAATGTGAGTTTACATACCCTTTCTGACTTTTGGTCTAAAACTGGTTTTTGGTGAAGTTTAATTCTGTGCTTGGTGATGTTTAATCCTGTGTTTATTGATGGGATAATTTTCCCTATTCAGCTTTGTTTGGAAGGAAAATGTTAATCTCTGTTCCTGAAAAGAAGCAGCTTCAGAAATCTGGCTAGTTCCTGTGTCTATTTGTTTTGGTAATTGGTTTAGCAAGCAACAGCTACTGTGTTTGCTCCTTTGCTTCATACTGGAGAGCTTAAATGACCTCTCTGCTAAAGGGTTTCACTTTATGAGCAAGAGTTGGCTGCTGATAGTAATCATTGCATTTTAACTATTTTAATTCCTCAAGGTGCTCTGGCACCCTGCCTGATTTGTAACTCCAGCTTGCAGGTATTTCTAATCTAATGATTGGTATTTAGGGCAGCTTTTTGCAAGCAAAGAAGTTTTTTGTATTTTTCTACAGGTAGTCCTTGACTTACAAGTTACAATGGCACTGAAAAAAGTGATCTTATGACCGTTTTTCACACTTATGACCATTGCAGCAAACTATCATTAGGGCAAAGAAGTGATGTCACATGACCACCTGGCCACCCTCACCAGGTCACATGAAGCACCGCAGTTGTGAAATGAGTGACACGGTTGTTAAGAATGCTGCAACGGGCATAAATGATGACCGGTCGTAAGTGTGAGGACTGGTCAAAAGTGCTAGGACCTGTCAGAAATCACTTTTTTCAGCCCCTGGGTAGTCCTTATGTGCATAGGGACTACTCAGAGGACTGAAAAAGTTATTTTTGACCAGTCCTCGCACTTTTGACTGGTCCTCACACTTATGACTGTCCTCACATTTTATGTTTTGCGCCCTATCTTGTCACCGTGGTGAAGAGAAGCAGTTGTGAAATGAGTGACACGGTTGTTAAGAATGCTACAACAGGCATAAATGTAAGGATGGTCATAAGTGCAAGGACTGGTCAGAAATGATTTTTTTCAGCCCTCTGAGTAGTCCCTATGCCCATAGCCATGGCCACCCAGTCACATGACCAGCTAGCCACACCCACCCAGTCACATGACCAGCTAGCCACACCCACCCAGTCACATGACCACCAAGCCACACCACCAAATAAGCCACACCTACAGAACTGGTTGTTAAAAAATTTAAATCCCACCACTGCATATATCTCCTTGCATGCATGAAATCTCTGCATAGAATCATCACCACTATAAGTGTACAGTCTGGGAATTGGGAACTAGTATGGGGAATTACCACTTAACTGTTGTTAAGGTGCTCTTCAAAAGTTTTGTCATTTTTTCTCTAAGTATCTCTTGGCAAACAGTTTAATATTTGTTTCTTCAGTCCAAAATGGGTGTCACTTGCCATATTAAGTATTTTTAAATTTTTGAATTTATGTGTTTGCAGAAAGTTGTGTTTAATTTTGTACCATATACAGATTGTATTTTTTTCTGTTCATGTAAGGATTCAATGGAACATATAATTTGACCTATGATGATTAAATGTAGCAGGCAATGGTACCTAAAAACACAGAAAGAAAATGTGTATTTCACTTTTAATTGCAAGCTGTGGGACTTAGAAGGGAAGAATGCTTTCTGTCTTTGATGTTAGGGTCAAATTTGGACCTGTTCTTTTCTCTAGTTGCGTCCTGTGTTTTTGTCTTGCTGTTGTTTGTTTTTGTGTTCTAAAACCTGAAGGGATCTTGCCTCTGGGCTGGGTTGATGCAGTGGACCCTAAATCTCCTTAGATTACATAGCCTATATTTTCCAGCTACGCAGATTTTCCCTTCAGACTGAAAACAAAAGATCCTGATACCTGGGCAATTGAAATTGAATCAGGAAAAGGAGCTATTTCACTCAATTTCTCAGACATTGTTTCAAGGACACAGGCTTGAGCCAAGAAACAAACAGGAAAACAGAAAATCCTAAATAGGATCTTCACAAATGATATGTATAGCATACTGTATTTTCCAGTTGCATTCATCTGTTGAATCCAGCAACTTCCTTTAACTTGATTTTGTCACTGTTAATTTCTCTCACTTTACTTCAATCAGCTACAACAGAGAAAAGAAGAAAGAGCATGATGGAGCAGATATATTTGAGACTCTTAATAAGAGTCTTTGTAATTTGCAGCAGATCAACAAGGATTTTTCTTGGTGTTACTGCAACAATAGTAGCACCAAAGGACTCTCTCTGATAAAAGTATACCACTCAAATAAAGCTTACAGAAACCCAGAATATTCAAGACCTAGCACCAAATCAAGCTTCCAATATGCAAGTACCCCATCCTATCCAGTGCTTGGGTGGGGGGAAGCCACATTTTCAGTGCACAAGGCTAGGAGGGTAGAGGCCTACCAAATTTCAGAGATAAAGAGTGTTCCATAGGGCAGTCATTACCACAGAAAAGGCACACTGCCTAACTACAAGGTGGCAATGTTTAAGGGAAGGGACTAGGAGCATGCTTATCTTTTGAGAGAGGAACAGAAAACATCCTACCATTCTATCTTCCCAGGCCATAAATGCTTAATGTTATGTTCAGAGTTAAACAAAGGTGTATAAACACTGTAGCCCCAAATTCAGCATAGCAAAATTGGAAAAACTCTTTCCTGAAACTCTGAAGCACCATTGCTGGTTGAGATAGATAGACTATTCACGGCCAGCAATCAGAACAGAAAAAATACGCAGCTGCTGAAAACTGATATTTTGGTAGGGGAGATTGGGGAGAGCAAAAAACATAGACTTTTGAAAAGTCTTTAGAAAAAAGACAAGAAGCTTGAGGGCTGCCAGTTGCCAACCCGAGTTAAATGGTTTCGATTTGGTGTAAGAAAGCCAGCCTTATTTATTCCTAAAAATTATAGTTTTGCCTCAATGTCCATTATAAGCAATTACCTCAGTAAAGAATATGTAACATATTCAACATTCATAATTTAAATTATGCAAATTATGCAAATCAGTAGGAACAAAGAGAGTTGATTTATCCAATTTATTTCCCTCTTTTTATTTTGAGTCGTACTTTTATCTGCATTTATACCTTTTGGAAGGTGGCTAGGAGTGTTTACTTCCTCTTTCAAATAACTTGATGTTCCAGAATGAGCTGTGCATGATTGTTATATAATCAAATGGAAACAGTGAAAATAAATAAGTTCTCAGCTGTGTGCTGGGATGTATCCAGGTGTCACAGGTGAGACAGAGTTGCACAACAATCACTGATTTCTAAGGGATTTCTCTGGAAACTAATTGCATCTGTTGACAACTACAGAGCTCATTTTTTGGTGTAATTTTTCTGGGTTGCATTGAAGATTTTTTGAAACAATTCTCTTTATACACAATTCTCCGATATATTATTCCTAATTTTCCATATTAAAATTGTCCTTTTGAATCTAGATGGCAGTGCATGGAGAGAATGCGGTGCATGCTACTTAATGCATTA